AAAGTTTACGCAACTCAGTTATCATTAGTGCAAGCAAAATATTACCAAGTGATCGTAGATTTTCTTCGGACTATCGTGTAACGCTTAATGCGAAAAGTTGGGCCCGAACCAAAGACTATTTCTTGATGGTATGCCACAGAGTGCGGCAGTTTATTTCCAGATCAAAACTATTTTTTTATCAGTCTGTCTTAAAGTCTTAAAAAATACGCAAATTCGTATTTGGCAAGTTAAAATCCTGTCGCGTGAGCTTTCTCACGACCTTAACCTAATTTCCTAATTTGCATGCACAATTGTAGTTTTTCTGGGAAAAAATTGACGCTTGATTTGCGACATGTTGCAGGCGTTTATTGGCTTCTTTACAATGACTAACAGAAAAACATAACTTTTTCAGGTAAATTGCCATACTTCATCTGCGTATTTTGTCATTTGGTATAGGTGAAAATCCCCTCCCGTAGGCTTTCTTCAAATTTGACTAATTTGCATGTTGTCGATTTTTTCCGGGAAACCTTCTCGTATGTGTTGATATTATATACAAGCGATGATGACGCTACACGTAATGAAACAAATTTTCTATAAGTTCTTCTTTTTAAAACCATTGTTGTTTCGATCTTGCAAACGTTGACAGTCCACAAATTTGGGGCGAGCAAGACAGTTCGAGAATCGAATTCTGTCATTTTACTAAACACGGACATGCAAATTAGTATGCCAGGCAGACTCAAAATTGTGTTTTGTACGGTAGTGAATAGTTTTGGAGACTAACAGAGTTATGTTTTCACCACGTGTGATGGAAGGCAAACAGGTTGCCGAAATGACAGTCAATTCGGTGGAAGAGGAAATGCAATTCGAACATTAAGAGCCAGTTCCTGTAAATACCGAGAATGAGATGACAGTCGCGAAATTTTCGATCTCTTCATATTTTGCCCAAATAACCTCTATAGTGAGTTGTTTACGGAAATACCATTCAAAGGTCCTGAAGCGCTTTAGTTTTTTTGAAACTGAGGAAAGTTTGAAAATCGCCATTTTAGCTGCCTGATGCAGCCGAAAATGGCTGAAAATTGTGCATTTTCTTTTCGCTTGTACAGATCAACGCGATGATATCTATCAATATACTTTGGGTAGC